GCACCTACTTTACAGGTATCGGTTGACAACTGGATGGGCAATCAGCTCAGCATGAAATAGGAAGTGATCGGAGATATGACGGTGCATATGTGGTCCGATGAGTCATGAAGGCTATCAGGGATAGAGGCATGATGCACCTATCATGCATTAAATACAATGCTAACACGTTGCCAGTGGGAGAGGCTCAAGGAAAAAGTCATTTAGCTTCATCGATAAGTAATGCCTTTTGAGTCGTCCTCACGAGGCGTGTGGCATCTGGTCGAGTGGGCTCATGACGAGTCATCTTCGACGAGATGGTCGACTGGTACCGCCCTTCGAGTCGACATTAAAGAATGTTGACTCGAAGAGTTGACTAAGTCAGAATCCTTAATAGTGTTTGGCCACCAACTTGATTGGGGCATAGCATGAAGTACACATGTCCATTGTTGGGCAATGTGTTGCAATTTGACGAATGAGAATACCATAACAATTACTACTACTATGATTTGAATTGGTTGTCAAATTAAGAGAAGAACTAAAATCCTAAATGGATAGGAGAATCAAGTGAGACATTTTAATTTTTTTTCGAATCTACCCCTCTACGAGCGAAAATATAAGTTAAACTGCATAAAAGAGTAGATATAGAAAAAAATTGTTTAAATTCTCTTTTATACGTAAAAAGATGTCAGTTATTTATTATTAATCTCGCATCTAAAAAAATATCATGCATCCCTTCCTAATTTGAATTTTAAAATTTGAAAAAAACTATTCACAAACTTTTAAGTGAGGTAGCGTTTCTTTTGTTTTAATTTTGAAATAGTATAAAAAAGGGACATCATAAAGGAGGGAATTGGTTTTTAACTTTTAAGCCATCTAATTTAAATTTTAAAATTTAATATAAAAATTATCCACGTCCTTAAATTGTGTTTTATCTAGGGCTTGTTTGGTTCACATTGCAAAAAAGTAAATTTGATTTTCATATGCTTGTCACATCACCTTTAGAAATCTCAGGATAAAAAATATTTTACATTTTTTACTGATTGGTTTGATAATTTACGTAAAAGAAGTCTTGATAGCTCTGTCACGTCAAGTTTTTTCATGAAATTCATTTTAGCCCTAAAACCTCTAAAATAGGTTTCAAGTAGTAAAATACGTTTCAAGTTTTTTTTGGTAAATTGACCAAACAACCCCTCATAAGAAACAACTCTACCTCAAGTTATCTATACTTGAAGGAGTAATAACCCAAATAAATTTTTTTATACAATGCAAAATTCAAAGAAACCAAATCAAACTATGTAAGCACGAGCATAATGTATGCATAAGCATTATAAGTAGTCAAAGAATGGAATGCATTACTCAATGCGGATAACCCGAATGGTTAGGAGGTTTTAATATCGCTTTTAGAGCAAGTCCAGCAAGCTCCCAGTTGGGATTCTTAGTCAACAATATCTCAAGAGCCCTCAATCATTTTAGAATAAAAAATTTAAAAAATAAGCCTTGGGAGGCTCTCATTATTTTATGGAGTTCCAACAAGCTCCTAGTTAGGAGCTCTAACCATATAAAAAATTCATCTTCTATTTTAAATTTTCTACTCATTACTTTCAATTATATTTAAACATTTTTTATTTCATTTCTAACCATTGGATACGACCTTCGAGGGAGCGCACACGGTCTTCGAGGTAACCTGCGGTCTTCGAGTTGTTGTACTACTCCAATTTTATTTTCAATAAAGTAGTTGTTTTCATTCAATGCCAAAAATTTCAACTTCAAGTAGAATCATAAATCTAATACAATATAATATTTGATGATTAGGAAGAACTAATGAGGATGCGATGCGAGTACAACCATAAATCTAATACAAGGTAATATATGATAATTAGGAGGAACCCTTAGACATCCACCTCTCCAATATCTCTGCCTGACGCATTTCAAAGTATTATCGTTGAACTGAATTGAGTGTTGAGAGATCCATCTTCATGATATCGTCACCTTGTTTCTTCTGTTTTAGATCCATTTTTTGATTGGTGATTTGCTTCATCCACGCAAAAGCCTCTCCCATGATGGACTTAGCTGACTCAGAGTTTTCTACATTTTGTTTCCTCTTGAGCTTTATCGCTTTCCTCCCTTCAGGCATTGCTATAACATCATCCGAGTCAATGTTCAACTCAATGGGGGTCGCTGGCATGGAATTGTTTGGTGGGGAATCAGAGTTTGTGGTTCTTCTCGACTGTGATCGAATATTATTGTACGTTTCCATTTTTTGGATCCACTTTTAATGATGACATGGTTCTTCTCGACTGTGATCGAATATTATTGTACGTTTCCATTTTTTGGATCCACTTTTAATGATGACGCAACTCAACCCAGCAATGGTCAAACACGAATGGCTTAACATAAAGAGATTGATATAATTCTTTTACTTCTGCAGTCTACGCAAGACTTAAATTTAGAATAATTAAACATAATTAAATATATATATTTCTCTCTTCAATGCTATGGTGTTTACATAAAAACATATAAGTTAAATATTTACGTGGTCAATAATTCCCATACCAGATCTTTGTCTTCCTTCAATCTGAGCAATGCACCCACAGAACTTGTTGACGGACAATTGAATCGTTGACCAACGATGTATCATTTGGTTTGGTGTGCGGCTTGTTGGATCGGTGGAGTATTGGAATAAAGTAGTTGTTAGCTCTGTCACTGTGCCAAAACTTATCTTTGTGTTGCCCCGTACCTTGGATGGCGTCTTGGCTCGTGTTCAGCCAAGCAGACACAAGAAGCTTATTCTTGTGGACAATCCAATTTTCGGATCGCGTGTAAGCCTTCTTCTTCTTTATGGTGTGGTCGGTGTTTCTTGGGGTGACACTTGTTGTGTTGCCGATTGCGAGAACTCGATGGGGTGACCTTCTTCTATGACGTTTGCATAGAACGGCGGGTATAAGGTCGATCCTTCACCGTTAAGGAGTTGCGAATAAAAGTTTTGGGAGGGATCCATGAGATTTGTAATTTGATAGAAAAATATAGAGTTTTTTTTGAGAGAGTTGTGTGGAATGATTTATGTAGTGAATTGAGAATTTATAGGAATTTTCTACTGTTCAACGACTAATTTTTAAACTCAACGGCTAATTTTTTAACACACATTTTGAAGCTGGGTTCCGGGTTCAAATATAGGGGTTTTTTTGTAAAAAATAAAATTTTAATACTTGGGAGCTCCCAAACGCTCCATAAATTTGTAAAGCGTTTGGGAGCTCCGTGGCACGAGCTCCCAAGCTCCGTGCCACGCCAGCCCAAAGCGGCTCCTTAAGAGCTTGCTAGAGGGTTTGCACGAGCTCCTACCGTCACGTAGGCCTTAAGAGCGGGCGGTGAGAGCTTGCTGCCCTTGCTTTTACAGTTTTGAGTTCGATTATGGGATGAGTAATATTTAAAAAAAAAAAAAAAAGAGAGAAAGCCCTCCTGTTCATATTTTTACGATGTCACGTGTAGATCACGTGACAAAAACAAAGAATAGACAGGGCTGAGCTGTTGCCGGTTGACATCCTTCAGGTTAAAAAAAATAACCGGGTTCAGTGCCAAAGCGCGTTAAATCAGGACCCTTCATTCTTGGCGGGAAGAGCAGCGCGTTCCGCCACATTCCCCCTTCTTACCTCTCGGCCTTCGTCTTTCTTTGTCCCATTTTCAATCTCATTTCTTGCCTTTCGTCATGGCCTCCTCCGATTACTCCGGTTAGCACCCCTCTCTCTCTATAGATTTTTTTGGTGAAAATGTTCTCTTTGGAGCTGCCTTTTTATTCTAAAAATTAGATTTTGTGATGTGATTGCTTTATTTTTTCGAAAGATTGAATCTTTTCTTATTATTCTTGTACTTCCCTTGCTGTTTTTTTTTGGATTGTATTTATTGTAATTTTCTGATTTAGTTAAATCTTCCTCAAGATAGGGTTTTACGGTTTTGCAATACGTTCTTATTGATATGGCGCATTGTCATCGTGATTACTGTGAGGAGATCCATTTGCTTCTTCTTGCACAAATTAGGATTAAAGATGACTTTTTTCTTTCAGTGACGGCTGGATTTTTTTGGATTAGGGTTAGGTTTAGGTCTTAATTCCTGAAAAAAGCTATTATTTCTTCGAACAATTTGGGAAAAAGGGTGAATTTTTCACTAGACCCTTCAAGTAATTAGGTCTGATTTTAGCATCATGATTGATTGTAATTTTGCAGGCCCATCATCTCCGAATGGCAACACAAGCCCAATCCCTGACACCAATTCGTCCCCTATTCGACCCACTCCCACAAGTCGCCGCGGTCGCCGCCAGCGCCAAAACCCTAATTCCTCGCCGATTGGTTAGTACTTCTCCCTCTACTGTTCTTTTTTCCCTTTTTAAATTTTCTTCGTGGGCTGCCTTTTTTATTCAAGAAATTAGATATTGGGGTCTGCGATTGTGTTCCTTTTGTAAGATTGGCTGTTTTCTTTCTCCTATTTCTCTTCATCGAGTTATTGCTGTTACATTTGTTGGTAATCTCTGATTTAGTTTACATTCGGAAGAATGGGCTTAGGGTTTTGCGAGGTGTTAGATTTATTTGATGCATTGTCATTATGACTGGTCTTGAGCATATCACTTGCTTTTGGTTTCACACATTTTTGTTAAAAGATGACTTTTTTCTTTCAGTAACTGGTGCTTTTGGATTAGGGTTAGGTTTAGGCCTCTCCAGTTTGTTCTAGAACAGATTTAATTTTTTTTTTTCAAAATTTTCAGGAAAAAGAATTTCACTAGACCCTTAAAGAAATTAGGTGAACTGATGATTGATTCTAATTTCGCAGGCTCATCATCCCCAAATGGCAACACAAGTCCAATCCCTAACACCAATTCCTCCCCAGTCGAACCCAACACCTTCCACTCGTGATGGCCGCCGCCAGCGGCGCAACCCTAACTCATCCCCTTTCAATTACCAGACGCCACCTATCCCCTCCTCATCCATTCTCCACCGCCATTCCTCCCGCCGCCGCGTGGCCGAGCACCACTCCAGCCACGCCCTCAACGCCGGCCTCCTCCAATGCTGGTGATGACGATGCGGCCATGGACGACGATGCGATGGATTCAACCCCGGTCTTTGTATGGGGAACCAACATCAGTGTCCAGGATGTCAACTCCGCTATCCTGCGCTTCCTCCGCCACTTCCGGGACCCACAACAGTCTAGTGCTGGGAGTGCTGATATGGCAATGGAGGAAGGGAAGTACATGAGGATGGTTCATCGGATTATGGAGTTGGATGGCGGGGAGTCACTGGATGTTGATGCCCATGATGTGTTTGATCATGATCCTGATTTGTATGGGAAAATGGTGAGGTACCCACTTGAAGTCCTTGCCATATTTGACATTGTTTTGATGGATTTGGTTGCGAGGATTGATCCATTGTTTGAGAAGCATATTCAGACGAGGATTTATAATTTGAAATCCTCAGTTTCTATGAGGAACCTCAACCCGTCTGGTACAGAATCATAACTTTTTGCTGCATGGAGTTTTTGTTGGTTATTTGGTAGGTTAAACTTTTTGGGTTACATTTTATAGATATTGAGAAGATGGTTTCTGTCAAGGGAATGATCATCCGAAGCAGCTCAATTATACCGGAGGTGAAGGAAGCCATTTTTCGTTGTTTGATATGTGGCTACTACTCTGATCCGATTATGGTTGACCGAGGTACAACTAAAATTTTGAAATAGTTGATTTATCTATTGATTGAGATAGAAACCAGTTTGGTTATATATATATTTTTATCCAAGTCCGAGTAGTAATAGTTTTTCTTGCTAGTAATGAATAGCTTATTCGTTCTAAACCATTTGCAAGGAAAAAGCATGTCTTTTAAGATTAATTTATTCACGCAACTTATGTAATCAACATTGTGTAGGTTAAGAAAACTTGTTGAACTTGAGTCTGTACTAGTCCATGCTTGCAAAAGCATTGTGTACTGGTCTATCAGTGTCAAAATGAATTTGGTTGTGACTGTTTTTCTAGTCCGTAAAGCATGATCACTTTTAGCAATCATATCATCCATAAAATTGGCTGAAGAGGGTGAATTGGTTGCTTTGATTATTTATTGCCTACTTAGCTCCTGATTCACTTATCTTGGATTACCCATCAAACCAGCTAGATCAAATAGATTGGAATGACAATTCTTCTTGAACATTTTTGACTATCAACTTGCATCATGGAAAAGTTCCTCTTTTTTGAGGCTGTAGACTTGTGCTTTTTAGTTCTGTATTATCTTCCCTCTCAATGTGTTAAATATCACGCTTACATATTTTGGAGCAGCTTGTCCATTATATGTTAGCTATGTCCTAAGAACAAGTAAAATTGAAAACCAACCTGACCTCTAAACTTGCAAACAATACTTAGAAATCTCAAGCCAGATACAGATACTGTTTCTTAATAATAATTATCATAATTTAATGGAACTTCCTGTATTGTTTGCACAAGTTCTTGTTTGGCAAACAAATATTATAATTTCCTTATATCTGGGTTAGTATAATATTTAGCATATTTATTCTGTTTTGTTGCTTTGCTAGCCTAACACAATAGTTCTTTCATTTTTAGGCCGTATAAATGAACCAACCAGGTGCGGGAGGCAGGAATGTCTAGCGGTGAACTCCATGACACTGGTTCATAATCGGTGCAGGTAACTATCCCCATGCTTATGCTTTTAGTTGCTACCTTTAAAGAGCCTTCAAGCTTTAACTTGGCAATTATTCTTAATTAGATTTGCAGACAAACAGATAGTGAAGTTGCAGGAGACCCCAGATGAAATTCCTGAAGGAGGCACTCCTCACACAGTCAGCATTTTAATGCATGACAAACTCGTAGACTCTGGGAAACCAGGAGATAGAGTTGAGGTAAGGAGTCCTCAGACGAGCACAAAACAACTCTTTTAGAGGGCACAATTTCTGTTGCATTAGAAGTTTTACTTCCGTTCTATATTCTGATATTAGATTTCCTTTGTAGGTTACAGGTGTATACAGGGCTATGAGTGTTAGAGTGGGTCCTGCTCATAGAACTGTAAAATCTCTTTTTAAGGTATGCTTTCTTCTTACAGTTGTTCTCCTATAGGAGTGAAGGCTGTTCCTTAAAACTATTTCAACACTGTTTTTACAGACATATATCGACTGCCTTCATTTGAAGAAGACAGATAAATCACGGATGCATATTGAAGATCCAATGGAATGTGACAACAATAACTCCTCTACAACAAGAATCAATGGTGATGATGAATCCCCAGAATATCGAGATAAGGTTTTAGTCTTTTTCTTTCTACTACTGACCCAAATTGGACGGAAACAGGTAGTATTTTCCTGATTGAATGATGCTGTTGTTTGAATATGTTAGGTTGAGAAACTGAAGGAACTCTCAAAGCTGCCAGATATTTATGATAGGCTTACCCGGTCTCTAGCACCAAACATATGGGAGTTGGATGACGTCAAAAGGGGTCTTCTTTGCCAGGTTTCAATAATTTTTATTGTATCTCTATGGAGAAGAGGAATCCTATTATGCAATACAAAAATTACATACAACGTATCATGAGGTTTAAGTTTAAAACCTATTTGTGTAATAGCTAAGATAGTAATCAAGTCGATCCAAAGCTTTTTGGGTGTTTCCTTTATGCATGCAGTGTTTTCAACCAAAGCTTTTTGGGTGTTTCCCTTATGCATGCAGTGTTTCTTTTTCTTTTTTTCTCTTCGG